ACGCATTACATAACGCACATCATCGTTATATCATACATGAATTTCAGCAGAATTACCAATAATAAAGTGTGATCATGTGTTATTGTGTTGTCATATTTTCACCAATCGTTTACTCTTTTAATCCTTTTCAGACGTAAGCGCAGTTAAAAAAATAATAATATTTCTCCCTCTCGCATTAGTTGAATGTCATGCTAATTTCGATAATTGCTATTTAAAGATGCGTGTATAACAACAATTATTGTGATTAGCGAATTTATTAAATACAATCTTAACTAACCTATATAACCTACCCATGTCCGATACCAAAGAATAATAATACTTCACTGAGCATGCGATTAATTACTTTTTTTCAATACCTACTACAGAACCTAATTCAAAAACTGATTTTTGCAATGTTTTTAGTATGCTTGAAGACTCTATTTAAAAATGTTGAGATTTTAGTAATGTTTTATGGCTTTACAAAATTGTGTTTTTACTAGTGAAAACCCGTTTTTTACAGTAATCTATTTAGCGGATATTTTTTTCAAAATGTTGACGTATCAAAATCTGAATTCAAACAAGTATTTTTTGAGTTATTTAACTTTAATTAGGTACTAGGATAAATTAGGAAATAAAAAGTCATTAATAATGGATTTGGAAGATATAAGGGCTATGATGACTTGTACATTTTAGCAATTAATATTAATCCATCAACATTTATGAATTTATAACGTGTAAAAATGGTCCAAGTTTAATAAATACTAAAACACTATATACATATTACCTACATCTATTTTATATTTTTATGAAACCATTTTTTAGAACATTTATCCTTATATAAACATATGAATGACTGAATACCTATTCGTTCAAATTTTGAATAAGACACATCAACATTTATAAAAAAATTATCCATTAAATAAAATGAAATAGAAAAAAGGGAGGTTTGCACTTGAAAAAACAAATTGTTTATAGTCACAGGACGTTCCTTAATAGCCAAACAAAAATCTCAAGAACTGTAAAATATGATCTGTAAGTATACTTAAATATACAAAAACCAGTGAATGAATTCATTATTAAATGAAAAATTGGGGATGAGTATACTTGGTAAATCGCTCTATACATAATTTAATATTGATACGTTTTTAAACATGCTTACTATTATCATCCTATTATATTATAGACATTCATGCAATCATGCCGACAATTCAAACTGAAGTTATGTTCAAGTAGGTTTACTTAAGACCACCACGGCAGGTTTGAAAATATCAGGTTTTCTTATAGAATTTAAGACAAACACCGTTATTACGATCGGAGATAATATTATAATGTATAATATTATGGTACTGGTTTACAAAAAAAACAAAAATAAATAAAAATTTATTACGGATATCAGCCGGTTCTTTTCGATCAAATTTATTCAATCACTATGGTTGAACTATTTAAAAGAATCTTTATAGAGATAGATAAAAATAGATAATATGATTAATATGGTTAATGAACTGTAAAAAGAAAAATTAAGAAACATGAGCTATGAGCAATTATTTACCTACATACCAATAATTATTATGTATTATATTAAAAGTTTATTTTTGAAAAACGATCCGGTGGATTGTGACGTTAAAATTGTCCCATGTGACCTCGGATAAGAATTCAATCGACTGCTGCCGGAATTTTCAATGAAACTGTTGGAGCGCTTTTGACCAGTAATTGTTATGCCGTGCACAATAATATATTTCTGTTTAGGTATCGTGGCGAATAACCGGCAACGTTCTTCCGTGTATAAAAGCGTATTTTTATCGGCGCTTCCTATAACGTTATCTCAATACAGTGTTGTTTTTGTTTTCGCATTTGATTGTATAATATAGCACCGTCTTATCTGTGTCCACACTAAGCCGTACTATTTTAATCAGGAAACATTTATTATTTTATATTTCTATACTTGTTATCGGTAAGAATTGCGTTTACAATTTTTTTTTTTGTTATCGTGAATTATCATTGTTATCAATGATATCATATATTTTTTTCTGTTATTTTTATTAATTAATCTTATTGATTTTCAATTATTTCATTTTGAACATTATACCTATAATAAATACAAACTATAGAATAATAATCAATATTGGTAAAAGTAATTTTATTATAAAAATATAAAGTAATATATTATTAACAAGGTAATATAAATTAATTAGCTTTATTATCCGAAAAATAAAAAATAAAGTCATGTTTATGCTATATTAATATAACTATTAAAAAAATAAGCAATAAACATTTTTTTTTCTACTAAAAACCTAAATTTAAACAGTTAGAGATCTGTTGCATATCAGATACTAGTACGAGTAGTACTTACTAGTTACTACGTAGATCAGTGATTCTTATAACCGTTGTTCCGCGGAACTTGAAATTCGCAAAAATTTTAAAATCAGTGGAAAAAAAATCTATAAGTAACTTAAATTGTTAGTTTCATTATCTTAACATAATGACTTTTACCAACTTAAACACAATAGTATAAAATATGTATAACTTTACAGAATCATTTTGGTTTGTTGGTTTATTTTTGTATACGACGTTATCGTTGGTAGAAGAGGAAGAATTCATTAAGCTATCAACGGATCGAATTCTCAGAATAAAATATTTCAAAATATCAATTTTATTGAAGAATAATTTTTCTATTCAAAACTAGTTTTGAATAATAATAATAAATAATTTTTTTTTATTCGGATTTTTAATATTGACGAACATTTAGGCAAAGAAACGAGAAAGACCGAAAAACATAGAGAAAATGAGAGCTACAACATCCTACATACGGCCTGATATGGAAAAAATATTTGAAAAAGGTCATCAAGCTCAAAATATCATTGAATATACAAAGTATTCCATTTAAAATCGTGAAAAATGTATGAATTTTATTTATTAATTTTATATATTATTGTTTAATAACTAATATGTATGCAAACTATTTAGTGTTATTTTTGTATTGTTTAATATATTATAATATTTAAAAACACGTATCTAAATACTATTTTATTTTAAGGCTGTGTTCCACGAAAATCTTATAACATTGTAACAAGTTGAGTGTTCCATCATTTAAAAAACGCAATGTTATGAAGAATCACTGGCATATGTCTACGTTTATGTTATAATTATTTTTAAAATAATTGTAAATGGTTTACCTCTTTACCCTCAGGAAACTTTATTCTCACAGATATAAATTGTTGAATGGTATTCTCTAACCATAACGCACACAAACCTTATTTCAAGTAAACTTTAGGTATATTGTTGGTAAGCGATAAAAATAATCGTTCGTCGTTCAATATGATACTCAGATACTATTCTAAAATAATAACATTTATAATATGAATAGTTTAAGCAAAATATTACAATAACGACGAATATACGCAGATAATTAGCTGTATAACTATAACGCTAACAGAGTTATCATATCTACTCAAAGTGCATTAAATAGTGTTTTGTTCAAAAATATCAATGTGTTTGAATAGTGAAAACAGTTATGATTTTTCTGTAAGAGAAAAATTTTGCTTTTTTTTAAAATTAAGTGATGGTTGATTCTGAACCAATCCTAATTTTTACCTAAATTAAAGACAATTTTGACTAAGGTTTTATAGGTATTTTAAAAATGTTCGATTAACTTCACGAAGAATTATAATTTATTTCAGATTATAACACATAAGATCAACTGGTACAGTGGTCCAATTGATAATAATTTGTTGTTATATTTCGGCAAAAAAGAAAACCTAATCGGTAGGTACATTCAATATGCTTAAAAAATATAATTAGATTTAATATCAATGAAAATACTGATAAACAATTAGTATATTTTTTTATAGGATGTACACGCTATACATCTATACCATACTTTATGGCATCGTTAACACTACGAAAGAAACATTTTAATTTCATGCAAATGAATAGTTGAAATTATATTTAAAACGTTCGTCATTATTCGTATACTATTTTGAAATAGGATTTTTTTTTTTATTTGCTCATAAAAAAAACATTTTTTTTTTTTTTTTTAGTAATTATGTATGAATGTAAAATACAAACAACCTAGTTTTTGATATTGCTACACTCATTAATTAATATCATATAATAATGATTAAATATATAGTTCAATGATTTTAGCATACTTGAATCTAGGTCCAATTTATTTATTTTAAGCTCGCCGCTAACATATTATAAGTGTGCATATGGATGTGTTTGTTTAGCTAATTTAAAATTAGAATACCTAATTAAAAATATAAATGTTTTTTTTTTTTACTGACTTCTATCAGTGTATAATTATAAAAGGAATGTTATCGTGCAAGTAATTTTCGAAAAGGTCAAATCTTTGCCGTAATGTTATTTATTGTTTAGTATGACTTGGCCATTTAAAAAAAACAATTAACATAGTATAATATAAATACGACAACATTTGATGGTAAACCGATGGGCAACAATGTTCCGGTTGATGCACAAAAACGAATGTTGGTGATGAGAAACTAAAAGCTGCATATTAATAATAATTTATAAAAACAACAATTTATCAAAATATCTTAATTTAATGGAAAATCCTTAAACCTATAGTGTTTTTATTAATTTTTAAATATATTTCATAATTTTGTCATAAGTCTTACACAATCAATGTAAAAAAAAAAAAAGTACAAAAAAAAATTTCATATTTACATTTTAAATGTATATTAATATCAACAACAAAATAAGACTTAAATTTAACGTACGTGTATAATTTATGTACAATGAGTTCGACATATAGAGAAAAAATTCAAAATTTTCTATCGACTCAATTTTTATGTTTTAATACCCTGTGTGTGAATTTGTAACACTAACTACAATGATGACATTTTCTTAACATCTAAATGCCGCCGTGAAAATAGTTAATTGAACAGCTAGAAAAAAAAAATATAGAACAAAAACACACACACGTCCAGTCTTCACAGCACACATGCATGATGCATGTCGAAAAGTCATCAACGTCGAACGTTTTAATATTTAAACTGTTCCGATTCTTGTGCAGCACAAATATATTTTTAGAATAGATACATAAAAATACTTATAATATGTAAAATACGTATTGGCGATAATCTCTCCGTCCGAAAATGATGTCATGGTCAATTTGCGCAAATTTTATCGCAAACAAAAGTTATAGTAATAATAATGATAAATGATATCGATAATTATAATAGTAATAATAATAAAAATAATAATAATAATAATGATAATGAACGAGAAAAAAAATTTTCAAATACTCGTCGGTGCATAATTTCTGAGAACTCGGATACACTCTAATTTGAAAATAGTATTACAGGTTTACAAAACTATCGATTAGTAGATGTATTTGCAAGCTTTCGTCGATTTCCCCATGCAGTTGAATGCGCTTTTGAATGATTCTGAGTATTCAGAGATCGTTTTTAATCTGTTAAAAAAAATAAATAATTTGATTAGTAATAATCGAAAAAAAGTTAACGTGCAATACGAAACGCCTTATATAAAGCCGTACTACCTCCATACATGAACTATGCATTGCCTATTTGAAACGCCGCATTTTGCTCTCAATATCACACATAATAATTACACCGATATTACTAATATACTTACAAAAGAGATTCGTCAGACATCAAGTTATACATAGTGTCCAAATCTTGTTGTTGTGGAGATTTAATTGTGCACAGAGACTGTAATGAAACAAGAATATATATTATTATAATAATATTGGCGAGTTGTATGGATAATATATTTTATCGTATCTTATTAAATATTCATACATCGAAATAAACAAGAGACACTCTTTATGATTTAATACTCGGACGGATAGAACCGTATTCTAAATATTACGAGAATTAATGGCAGGTCGAAAAGTTTAATTTGATTTAATTTAACAGAACATTAAAATCTAATAAGGGACTCCTAACCTAACCAGACTCAAACATTAATATAAGTAATATTTTAAAAATCGAATTAATTGTCGTTTGTATTAATTTTATGCCGTTATTGTGTCTTTATAAATGTCCTTACTTGTGCGTATCCAATGAAGAACAGTGCATCGTATTCATATGACTCCATGGCTGGTTGATGATAATGCGGTTCAGTTTGCCTTATTTTCGACAAGCTCTGTAAAAACAAGACAATCATCACGTTACGATTTATGACAATGTAAATTACGGTGACATAACTATCACCAACATCTGTTTAACATACCTCCAGGGCAAACCGAACACTCGATACTGATAACATGGCTGTCAGTACTGTGTTGTTAGTGAACTCCACCTGCTGGTCCTTTAAGAATTGACCGAAGCAAGAGCGAGCCTCAATGGTGGCGCCGATGCTTCGGTTGACGGCTGTGGAGTGAGCTTGTAACAAAACACCATCTGTGCCGTGAGCCACTCCTGGTGGATATATGCTGGACAGAATGGCTGAACTGATTTCTACACCCAAACCTCCATACAATAAAGCCCTGTAAAATCGAATAGGCGCGTTAGCCTTAAGGTAGATTTTACAAACGTTATGCCTGGTTTTTCCGACAAACACACATATTATTTCATATCTTTTTAGACTTACTCGGGATAACCGATCTCGAAATAAGGTGGAGATAACAACGACAGTGGTACAATTACTTTATTACTAGCTACGTTGTACGTTACTTTAGGATCTTCAGACACCAAGTCATCCAGCCACCTGCAGAAAACAAGACGATATCGAATTAAGATAAATTTCCATATTATACTCAAAAAGATATTATTTACATTATACTGAAATCAAAATTTTTCGTTGATTGGTCATTAAACAGAAACTTGTATGTAAATACTAATAAGAAATATGTATAAATCTTAATATATTTGATGCTGAAATTGTTATATAGTTTACTCTAATCAATATTTCAATATTGATAAAAAAAAAAAAATGAATAAATAACATATTTTAATATTTATAAATCACGAATAAATCAAAATATGTTAAGATTATTAAAATTAATACATTTTTTCTTGATTATTAATAATATTATTGATGTTTATTTTTATTATTCTTCGTTTAAATATTTCTTAAATTATCTTAGAGTGCGTGTTTTTTTTTTAAATTTATTGTCAAATACATAACTAATAATATGTATTTAACATTTTAATATTACAACAATATATAATACTCTACCAAGACTTTAAATATATGTATTTTTATAGTATTTCTTAGAAAAAGTTAAATAAAAGTTTAGCAATGAACGGTATAACCATTAAGTTTTATCAATTGAAACTTACCCATATTCTTCTTTTTTGGATTTTAGTTTAATTTGCGAATATTCTGTGAGGAATGATATGGCATAATTAACGTTTTGAAAGAAGTCGAGCTTTTGAATAGGCAACTGGTTGTAAAACTGATTCACGTAATTCTCTTGAAGCATATTGTCTGGTAATCCAATTTGTACTGTTAATGACTCCAACTAAAACAGAAAAAGGTGAACAGTAAGTTAATAACTAATGTAAATAATTTTTAAGGTACAAACTCACCTTGTTTAAAACGTGATCACGCAGTTCAGATTCTAAGTCGTTGTTATTGTAAACATTTGATATGATTGTTTTTTTAATGTTATCGAAAACATCTTTCACTACAGCTACAACGCCTGATTTGTTTTCGATGTTAGGTTCCAGCGAAGCGGTTATACCGAATCCCATAAACTTTTGCAGCAAAGAAACGCAAATCTCCCATCTAGGCGGCAAATCTTTTTCGCCTGTAAGCTCAGCCATGTAAATTTTGACAATTTCTCTAAACTTAACCGACAAATAAGGGACATAAGCTTCAGCCATTTTCCACATGAAATAGTCGTTTAATCCACTATTTGAAAAACATAAAGACGGTATTTGGTTAGAAACAAATTTATCGGAATACAACGTATAAAAACTAACCTGCGATCTGACGATGATATCAGATTAGATAAGTTACTAAAATAAGTCGGCGACACAACCGAGATAAACGTGTCGTCGCTAATGTTACTATCTGGAAACTTTGATTGCAAGATGTCCAAAAGCGGGATCTACAACGAGATTAAAAATCGAAATCGATTTAAATAATATATATATATATATATATATATATTAAATAATAAACAACTAAGTTATGTTTGTATATTATAATACGTAATATTTTCATACCATTCCAGCAATTTCTTTCAGTTTCGAAAGCTTAAACCGTCGGTGGGAATTAAATGGATCCTCTTGTTTACTAGCTGGCGTTATTTCCGCGATGCGTTTTTCGTAATGGAACATGTCGTTACTGAATATCGATGCGTCACCACTGGTAGCACCCAGCAATTGTGATACGTCCACCATGTACTGTTTGTATGCGGTTACTATCTGCAAATTATCGTAAAAGCACGTATTTATAGTACAATTATATCTGTAATTCTATTCTCATTAACAATTTTATTATTATTATTAATATTATTAAATTATTATTATTATTATTGTTGTTGTTGTTAATACTATTATTATTATTATTGTGCACACAAACTTACTTTGTTATCTTGCTGCCTATAGTAATACCTTCGGTCGGGTAAGCCTAGTCCTGCTGGAGATATCTAAAATAGTGAAATCATAACGCATTTTATACGACAGTCAACCAGAGTAATGATATAATAATAATACCTGAATTATGTTCTGGCCTGAAACCTTATCGTCAGGAACAACGTCTATCTTGAAAAACGGACTGACGCTGTATTTGGCGTGTAATTGTACAATGGTTCTAGTCACGTCCCACGCATGAACGTCAAAATCTTTCAATACATGCCAACCACCTAATATATTATATGAAAATAATTGAATAATATTATATTGTTTAATATATATAAAAAAATCATTAAGAATAGACCACCCAAGAGATGAGGAACAAAACATACCTAAAATTGTACTAATAATCTTCTTTAAAGGTTTTCCTTCATCTGTTTCAATATTGTCCAAGTTCACGCACGATTCGTAGAAATGCTTCATCTTCCAGTTCAACGAGGTGGAACTAGCAACGTTTCTTAGCGTAACAACCATGTTCCTGATCTTTATTTTTTCTGAACAAAGTAAATAAGTACGGTTTACATTTCAATATTTATTCTATAATATATTATATTTTTAACACATATAATGTACACTTGATGTCTTGATGTACTCACGATCTTGTTGAATGCGTTTTTTTAAACTCCACGAACTCATGTACGCCGGCAAGTCGTTTGTTTGTAGCCATCCTCCACAAGAATATTCTCTAAAATTTTCACATGGCTGTTGAGTAAAATTAATTTTGGGCAGAACCTATAAACAAAAATTAATATAAAATTAATATAAGTGTATAATATATACATACATTATGTATATAATAAATGTTTAAAATCTAAACGTTGTGTTATAGTTTCCTGTAGTAAATTTGGTTGCGGATCGTTAACTCTGTGCTTTAATTCGATTTCAAAACCTAAAGAAACGTCATGGGCGTTGTAGAACAACATACGAACCGCAATAACATCTAAACGTTATTACAAAAGTGTTGTAAATTATTTTTTGTTATTTATTTATAAATGACTTATAACCATAATTTAGATCTGGATATAAATTATAGCATTTTAGGTTAGGTTCATTGTTACCATACCTTAATACCTAAACAATAGATAGATATAAAATTCATGCTATACAAGCATAACAACAGTCATTATAAAAATAAATAGGTACTGAATGCATTATTACGATAAAGCACAAATGAGATTTCTCGTATAGTTAGATTTTATCAATCGATTAATTAGAATTCGGTGTATGAAACTTTCTAACAAATTACAAATGCTAATATTTTGTAGATAAATAGGTAGTATGTTATATTAAAACCTAGTATCACATTTTAATAACACCATCGTCTATCAGGTGATTCAGTCGAATATTGCAGAAACTAATAAGTTAACAAGTATTATATTTTATTGCATATGAACGTTTTACAAATTTACAATAATATTCGAAATTTCTAGAGGCACTTAAAGACGGCTTATATTGCTACACATAAGCAATTTCGAAAGGAAATTATATAAATCAAACGCAAGTAAATGTTTTACTGTTTTCTGGACCAGGTAGTATAATCTCATCATTCTTAAAAGGTAGCCTCTAATGGTATATATTATACATTTATACCCACAGTTAATGGAATCGGTCATCTATTGTATACGCCCACTCAGAAAAATTATTTCCATTGTACCTACCTGTTGCACGGATTATGAGAGTTTTATGAATGACATTCAAAAATAATCTTGCACCGTAGTAACTAAGGTAATAATATAAAGGAAAAACTCGAGTTGGGTCCCAGATTTCAAAAACAGCATGAGTTGGGTCCCGGTATATTTTATAGAGTATATATATGAGTTGGGACTAGCCTATTTTCATTACCCAAGAGACACCACGTGGAGATAGACTAGAATGTCACCCAAAAATTTTGTTTTTTGTTAAGTTAAAGTATATAGGTATTAGATTAAATTTAAAAAATAAAAAATGTTATATATTATTTGGTAATAAATATTTGTATTATTTCAAATTCCCACTATGATAAATAAAAATAATAATTTGCATGCTCTTTAGATAATTAGATAATATCTATAACAGTAATACTTATTATAAGATCATATTATTTTTCTAGGGGTGAAAGGCAAATGCCCTGTCTTGCCCTCCTCAATGGGCGCCCATGTACTGGAAAGTTACGTTGGACTCAATTCGAGTATTATCAAATAATACCGCGAACCCAATTCGAGTATTTTCGAATAACACCGTGGACCCAACTCACGTTTTCCTTATATAATGTCCGAAGATGCTTACTTTTATTTTATGTACCAATAGACACTAGCCACAAAAATACGTCAACACCCTGCACCACCGACTTCGTTTAAATTGTACACACGTTTATTACGAAATGTTGGTAATACATTAACAAGTATTTTGATGTGATGGTTAAAAATGAAAGTATATCATATTAAATTGGTTTTTGAAAAATGAATTCAACTGAGATTTAACCAAATTTCGAGAATACTATCACGTCATCTCAACAGTAAATATATAATAAACTCGCTAGGAACGAATTAGGTTAGGTTTTAATAAAAATAATTAAGTCCGTTAATGAAACAACATCGTAGAAAAATATTGTAGAAATTTGCGTCATTTGCGGTATGTAAACAGGGCAGGTGCGAACAAAGGTTCTCCGGTGCGCGCACGCAGACCACTCTCTAATATCCACTACATTATGAGCGGCTCACGATAAAAGGGGTTTTCGATACGGACGAGAAGCGTTCCGGTCCACCCAATGTCAAACGACCGTCGGAGACGAAAATAAACGCTGCATCACTGTCGTCCGTGCCGCTCGTCACGTAATAATCACAATATGTTAATATATACTCCACGTGCGCGTGATTTAAGTATTTTTTAATTTTTATTTTTTACCCCGAAAATCTAAATGCGTAACCCCTGTGAGGGATTAATGAACCGTGTTGGCGTTCAATCGAAATGGGCTTGGCGAGCGGTTTTTTTTTCGTCGTCGCCCGAACCTCGCCCTCGAATCCGAACGATGTGTTACAGCTGCAGCAATACGATGATATTAACGATAATAATAGTAATAAAAATAATATACGCTGTATCGGCCGAAAAATATGTACGGGAGTGCCCATCTCAGATGGAGCGCGCGCCCTATATATGGCTATAATCCTATACAATATACAAACGTATGTATTCACGGTCAGATGAAAATTTCGTTTCGTTTCAAGTACTCGTAACACAGTCCGGGAGCAAAACAAAATGATACGATATTATTATACTCGTATACTTTCACTAGGAGGTCGTGGCCGCGTTCGACAATAGGCAAGGTTAAGGACACATACGATACACATTATAATATTATGTTCTCCACGGGTAATCTTATAACCTGCATAATATAATACACTTATATACACCTGCGTACGAGCGAGTGTTTTCATAAAATTGAATTCGTCACAGCTATATATAGGCCTACGCTCGGACGATGAGTGATCTCGTCTATCCGCGAGTACGTCCTACGTAGAGATTTAAGGAAATGGTGCACCATCCATATGGAAAAGACGTAATTCCCCCCCCCCCCCCCCGCATGACACATACCGTATAATATAGACAAAACATCATCATAATAATAACGTCACGTCGTCAACGGTGGTTCGTGTGTCGTTTATAATATACGTATAGATAAAATTTTCCGCGTATTCCTCATTTTAGGGGGTTATACTATTCGATCTCTTTGGGGTTTGTAAAATGATCACCGCAGACTTGAACATCCAGCCACCGATACAACCGATAAAGTATAATATTTTTGTATAATACTATAATATAGTCTCATAGAATATATATATATATATCTGTACATGATATAAATAGTATACGGATATAATAGCGGCAAGTAATACGAGATCGAAAACAGCATAACCATAACGACTATAGCATATCGAATCATGGAAATTATGCACATATGTGACGGTATTTTTCCTCCTTAACTACGTTTATTATGCAGCATAAATAATTATACATTGCTAACATCGGTTGCGCGTCATGACAGGTTCATACCAACATGTGTACACGTGTGTTATACGCTCCGAAAGTGATAAAATATATTAAAATATACTGAAAAAATTACCTGAGACAAAAATAATTTTAAGCCACATACAAAAAAAAAAAAAAATGGAATTTTATAAATATTTTGGCATTGGCAAAAGTTTATTTTCAAAATTTAAAATTATAACAAACAATAAAATTATGAGTACTTAATAATAAAAACGACTTATTACAAATGATAGAACAACACTTTATCACCAATAAAAAAATTATCAAGACATATATTTATACTATAGTATTAGTAGCTTCGATATTATACTCATATAAACATTATAAACTACAATGAAATTTCTTTAATTTGTATTGACAACCAAGGACAGCGTTTAAAATACATATACTTAATACAATTTTATTTTTTTCTTTAAAGCCTTTACTTTTACATTTTTTTTATAAGTGCATTTAAGTTTTAAAAACCTAAAACAAACTATGCACCTATATATATTTTTGTCATATTATTATTAATAAAAATTACAGTACATTTTTGCGCAATATATATAAATAATATATAAAATAAAGAACACTGCAAATATGAAAAAAAAGCAATATTGACAGTGTTCTTACTATCAGATTACATATATAATTATTTATTCGCTAAAGTAGAATTTATTTTTTATGTACTCGTGATTTAGTGAATTAAAATTGTCTTTATCTACTGAATTCTCCAATAATTTGTAATAAACTACATTGATATTAAATTATTTTAACCATACGTCACCAATATATTTTAATACATGATGTAGCGAAATTAGATTTTAAAATACTAATTTCCGATCATAGGGCCTTACGCATAGTTTGATAATAATACATGAGAAAATCACGTCTGTAATACTGTGTATATGTACTTGAAATTCTACGATAAACCACAAATATTTGGTTTCACAATACATACGCTATATCAATGTACCGCAATACTTCACTATACAAACTGCAGATTAACAATTATCATTTAACACACCAAATTCAATATAATATCAGTTTCTTGTTGATAAAATTATTTTATACGAAAAAAATTCACTATTGGTAAATTATAACATATTATACGGATTCAAACGACAAACGGTATTTTCTATAGCAAAACTTATAGTTTTTGTTCATACTAAAAAATATACAACACCGATTTTTGGAACAACTGGGAATGTATGAACACGATCGTATGAGTATTGCAAACATCAATAATCGAAACTTTTAAATCTCAAGATCAACAGCGTTTAAAACAATAAACTCATAAATTCATAGTGCAGGACGAGAAATTTAAATTCATCAATGTATATAAAGATACACATCACGGACACGCTGAACTCACGAAACAGAACGGCCGACAAAATGAATAATGATTATCAATTTCAAACGGCCCGTTTGTCCCGTCTCGTTATCATCGCTTTGAACGCGTATCGTGCCTCTTTTGTGCACACGATTTTTCGTACGGAAAAATACAAAATTTCACACAGGATAATTGGCAAATCGTCGCGAACATGTCGAATAATTTTATTTAATTCGTATACGTATTCTAACGATGCGTACAAACGCGTACGCGTTCGTTTGTTTTGTGCCGAGTTCTCTGCACGCATATATGACTTATGGGCGGGGGTGAGAGAGACTAGGTTTGAGAACCATTGCGAATAAAGTATATATTATACGAGTGTGTCAGTTGCGGC